TTGCATCAATGCTAAAAAATGCATAAAAGTACTGCACAAACGTAGAATGTATAACACCATTTAATTTTACCTTTCGAAATTTAGTTCTATCTTTAATTTAAAAATACAGCTCCGCCTATTTGCCTGAGACACTTTGTATTTTAAAGACATTCTACATTCATCGTTTAGACTTTTAGTGATACAAAAATGAACTAACTGTATTTAATTATAATATAGAGTCAATTTTCTGCAATTAGTTTAGATTTCTCTATCAGTGATGTCGAATTATTTAAGAACAACGGTGTATTTACTAGTGTTAATGGCTACACCATGACGTGTCACAATTTCAATAGAATTGCTTTCTTTAAATCAGATAAAGCCCCTCTATTTTTGTCAATATAGATTTACGAGCCTAACCTAACGTTTTTCATCACTTTTCCAACTACTTCGTACCGTTAACATTTCTCAGATAAAAGTAGTCGAAAATACACATTTATCATTACCAAGTGAATAACGTTTCGCCAAAATTAAGATAATAATTATGCACTTAATTCAACTTAATGCAACATGAATTAATTTAAAGCAGAAAATGAAATAAACTAAATTCTCTAAAGGAGACAAATATTTAAGTAATAATACAACAGCCTACTATCCATGAGATAACATTAAACATCCACTGGAAAAGTACACGCAAGTATTTGACAAATAACATGCGTAGTAACTTAGTACATAAGCACAATATCAAGAAGTCTTACATTCAGCAGAAAAATTGAAGAAACCCATGAACCCTTTAATAGTAAAATGGACAGCAAAATTCAAAATAAGGTTATACGTTAATCAAAAGAAGCCAAGGACAATTACTCCCAAAAATATTCAGACACTTATAATATATACTTATAAAAAGTATTTATAATATTTTAAATATGATTAATATGAACATTATACTATGAATATTCAAAATGTTCCTTTTTGCTAAGTGTTGGAATATTTGTTTAACATAGTAATCGTATTATGATGTTATATACGACAATGCATTAAACTAGCAACACGTAATCTTAAAGTACAATAAATGACATTTCATAACGAGAATGCATTAACCCAATCTTTTTGTAATTAACCGAAATACATTACTAGAAAGGCAAACTTACACAGGGTGATTCATTTAACTTGACCTTTACTCCTAGACTATTCGCTGTAAAAGTTGCATAATTTCAAGGGGGGCGTATGTTACAATAATTATTTCTTTTTTACATTGTTGTTGCATGAAATTTCGAAGGTCACTATGATTTTTTTAAATACCTATATTTCTTTGCAGAAATTAAAAGAGCATTAAAAGCTGAACAAATAATTATTAAGGTGTAATAGGTCTAAAATAAGTATTTATTGAGATATTTACAATAGATTCTATTGAAATGGAAACAGAAAAACACGCAGAAGCATATTTCCCTATCCGTAAATTCGATTTCAATAGAATAGAAATTCTACTGCAAAATATTTCAACAAATACTCATTTAACACCTATTACACCTTAAGACTTATTCAGCTTTTAATTCTCTTTTAATTTCTATAAATAAGTATAGGGTGTTTCGTTTAAAAAAGTCATGGTGACCTTCAAAACTTCATGTACCCCCTTGAAATTATGTAACTTTAGCTTCATACGCTATTTCGTACAGCGAATAGTTTGCAAGTAATTTCAGATCGTCATGTTAGGTGAATCGTCCTGTATAGTGTCCAAATATTTTGAGGAGTAACTGTACGTGTTTCGAAGCACGTGAAAGAAATGGACTTCTTCGTTCCGGGTTGTCTCGGTTATCAGCCACGCAGGTATCTGTGGAGAGGGGAGCAGACCACAAATACATAATTTTACCTACCTCGAAGCTGGCGGATTACCTCACGTTAAACACGTCAGCGAAAAATAACACAGAAATGACTGTCGAGGTAACTGGCTAATATTAAGATAAATAATCTGTCCTCTGGTCGTTTACGAAGGGATCAAAACAACACATCGTGACCACCTAAAGTAGTAATCTCAGTGATCAACTCGACAATCCGTCCGCCGAATCGTTTCGTTCGCCCTTTTGCACCGTGGGGTACTTAGCCTTTGAAAAAAATACAGCAAGTCTCGTTCGAACAGGAAAGCAGTAGCACTGTCCATTCGCGTCCGTTATCACCACGGTGGAGCGTGCACCGACGGATATAACGCGTCAGAGACATAACAAGCTGTGTGTCCGAGGGGAAAGAAGAGCTCGATCGACTTGATCGAAAACGAAGTGACACTCGGTGGATCGTTCAGTGGGTCCGCGGCGTGTTTTCACGACGGAGTTTTGCCAATCCACGATCCATCCGTGACCGATGATAATCGTATATGGTGTTTTTCCTTTGATATCTCGCGAACGACCACCATATCCGCCGGCTGAACAGTTTGCTATCGCGGTAGATAAGTACTTCTATCACCTATTAACGCGAGGCTTACGGAGATACCGCGGTAGATAAGTACTTTTGTCATTTATTAACGCAACGCTTCTGGAGATACTGCTCGAGAGTGTCACACTTTGCCTGTGATCTGTTTGGGGATGCTCGTGAGGACGTAAACAACGCGCGTACGTTGACGCGTTCAGATAGTAACAAGTGGAGAACATTTTGTGTTGCCGGTAAAAGAAATCGTTAATATCGAATAATACTCGTTGCTTATCAAAATTACCATAGGAAATATTTTACGAATATTCCCAAGTAAAGATACTGTGGAAATTTTCACATTTTATGTGGATAACAGCGATCCGCAGAAATTCATTTTTACGCTATGGGTTATTAATGTGGTAATCTGTTCTGTGTGAGCGGTGTAATAATTTCGAATACCATACGTGAGTTTTTAAGTGATCGTAACGTTTACTTCCGATGTGAATTGCGAATGAATTTTTCTGAGATTTCCAAATGTGTTTCTGAGTTGATGATTTAACATGTGACGTTTTCTTTTTTTTTTACGTTAACATGTTTTTTAAAGGAATTAGACGCGGTGTACAGTTGTAACGCAACTCGTTATAAATTCATGCACTTCATGCTTCATAAATTTATGACAGTCCGCTTGAACAATGTTTTTGTTATTGTTCCTCGTGTGGTACTATTGTGATTATGGGTAACATCCTCTAGTATCAGCCTGTTACGTCAACGTACTGTGTTTGGAACGTTGGTTTTATATGAGGGGCTTCTGCATAGAAGCTGATTGAATTCGTAATAGGTACAATTTCTTTGTTGTTACGTATTTTGTAATCGCGTACCTTTTTTCGGGAGATTTACAAATGCTTTTGGAATAAAGTCAGTTTTTCAATGATTCTCCGTATCAATGAAGGGTTTAGGTACATTTGTATTTATCTTCCGGAACAAATAAACCAGACAAGCCAGTTATAAAGGAATCATAGATTACCTCTAATTACATAATTCGTGTGCCTGTTAAGGTTGAAAGCTGCACGTGTCGCTGAATCTTCATTTACAATAGTTTTTTCTAGTAATGAACTTGAAATTGAAAACTTCAGAGCTAACTAAATTACCTCTATAAATTTTATATCTACTAGAAAAAGAGAAGAGTCAATAATTGCTCTGAAAATAATTACTAGTTTCGATAATA